TCGTCAAAATCGGTCCAAAAATGAGGGAGGAGTTCTGTTCACAAAAATCGTCTTAGCGTATTATATATATAGATAGATTACTAGCAGAGTACCCGTCCTTCGTACGGGGTTGGCAAATAAGTATAAAATGCTTATTGCAGTTATACCCGATCTTTGCGTTTGCGATGTGAGAAAACACGGTTTGAGAAAATTTGCTTCCTCAAATTTACGGTATGCGATAGTATTACACATCTACCATAGCCATAATGTTCTACTACTTCACCTACACAATAGAGAAAGATAGATTATTAAAAATTCGCAAAATATCATAGGTAAATTATTCATGAAATTAAAAACATAAACATAACTGTAAACAATCCTACTTTGACAGTTCTCATTGTGTATCACAGTTTTTTGATGCTGCTTAGTTCAAATTAGCTGTTTTCATAAATAATGAAAAAAATAATAGTGCTGCACCCTGTTGGTAAATCTTATAAATTTTTAATGCTTTTGCATATCATAGAACCAACTCTTTTAGTTGAAACAGCTGGCTAAATTCTTTAAATCCCTTTAAATATGAATACTCATACATGGGGAACTGCAGAGCCACTGGGGCGGAGCCCAAAGGGATTTTTGAGATAAGAATATGGCTATATGTTAATTGGGAATGTGAGCTATCATCATGCCAAATTTCAGCCCAACCGGACCAGTATTTTTCAAGTTTACTTGTCACAAACATACATACATCCATACATCCAAACTTTCTCATTTATAATATTAGTAGGATACAGATGGGATTTTTCTTTTGGTTCCAAAAATACTTTTGGTTCCGTAGGTCTCATGGTAAGACCTGGACCCGGGACCGATTTACTTTTTCCTTTTGAGGTCCCTAGAGGCCAAAAACACAATCCGTTCAAATTCATATATATTTATCTATCTATCTGTCTATCCTATATCTATCTTCTATCTATATCTATATATATAATAGGTGAAGCCGTTTTTTGTTAACGCAACTCCTCCCTTATTTGTGGACCAATTTCAACGTTTAAGGTGTCAAAAGATTCGTCTCAATATGTAGTTTTGCAATAAGGTTTTAGATTCTTTAAATTCCTACTCTTAAGGGTGTGAGACCCTCTCAAAGGTCGGGTTTTCCCCATAAGAAATACATAGAACAAATTTAAAAACAAAAAAAAAACATATGTTTAAAAGAAACTCATTAGCTGTTTGGGAGTAAACATTAATGTTTGTAATATTCATTAGGTTAAGACTAAGTTAAACAGTTAATCAGTTTTATTTGGAAGAACAGAAAATGCCTCAAGTTCAAAGATGAAATATTGAAGACGGGAGGATGAGACAATTAATAATAATATATCTTATGCATATGAGGAGAGTAGAAAAAGAGAGCTCTGGTCTAACAGATACCCATCCAGATACACATTCACTTGGTGAGATGAATAATATTTGCCAGCTCTGCTATACAACTTACTTTGTAAGTGATAAAATATACGAAACACATAGTTTTGTCACGGTGGTAAAGTAAACTTGCCTAATGTCAGATGAAATGAATGATTGTTTACTTCTGACACTGACAGATCAAAATATTTCAAAACATTTATTAGAAACTATAATAATGCCTTGACTATGATAAGTTCAAGTAGTAATATTATACCAAATCTTGGCGGACCTTATGTTTTTATTGTTAACTTTTGTATTAACACTTGTATTACTACTTCAATTGAGAAAAACGCAAATGGATTGTTTCACTTCTAGGTTATGTTTCCAGTTCCTCGGACAAACTTATACAAAGTTTTTTGACTTAATTCACCAACACAATCCAGACATTTCAAGTCAAAAATAAGAAGTTTCAAAAACTCATTTGCTATTGAAAGTTTTAGTGGCAATATTAGACCAAAAATAAGTGAAGGAATTAGTGTTTATGTAGTCAACGATCGAGTAGTTACGGTCAAGTTTATTTTAATGATTCAGGAGAGGCAAATAATACGTTGTTCTTGCTCAAAAAGAGAAAATGAAAATTGCTATCCAAATCTTATAGCTACAAGAGTTATCCAACCTATTTCGACAAATGAATCCATGATACTTTCAAAACTTTTGGACAGGTCTTAAGAGAAACTCCACTGAACAACGTGAGAACGTTCTGATGCGAGGCATATACTGTGACTGACAGACAACACGTTAAAATATGTTAACCAACTTTCAAAGGTGTTGCTGCCTTAGCCTATTCAAAGCAGATTTATGGCTGTCCAGCTGGTAACTTGGAGTTTTTTTTGGTAAAAAATGGAGCACATGAAATGGTTGATACTGTATCACCCCACTCAGGGCCGTCCCTAGGGTTTGTGGCGCCCGGAGCAAATGTGGTCGTTGCGCCCCCTTCCCCCCAGTAAAAGTCGCATTCACATATTTTAATACTATATGTTAATACAAATAGCCGATGCGCGGCGCCCCCTCAGCCGCGGCGCCCGGGGCAACTTGCCCCGGTTGCCCCCCCCTTCGGACGGCCCTGCCCCACTTTACAGGATTCTCTATGGAGAAAATTTGTTTTACTAGGGGGATGTCTCAAATCAAAGAAATAAAATGACCCAAACTCAGGCAATAGTTTTCTTCAATTCTCAATGCTGGAAAAACTTTGTAGCACCATGTTAACTTGAATTGAAGCAGATCGTTCAGCATTCATTAGAAGTTAGTTATCAGTTAAAACTGAGAGCAGAAATAATGTAGGTGAACCTTGACAACGCAAATACAGATATTTAAAATTAGTTTCAAACAAGTGTTTAAACAACTCGAAGATGTAACTAGAATTACTCGAATTCAAGCATAACGTTTTCCTCGGCGTTATGTTTCATACTATGCGGCTCATCGAGCCGCACAGGTTCTCTAGTTTATATATATAAAGCTTGAGTATGACATTTATTTTATACTTATATGCCAACCCCGTACAAAGGACGGGTACTTTGCTAGTATATATATATGTACATATATAATATTAGTATATATATGTGTGTGTGTGTGTCCGTAAGCACGATAACTCGAACAAAAATGATCCGATTTTGATGAAATTTTGTATAAGAGTGTAAACTTACAGTTATTTGAACGAGTTCGCTAACCAGCATGATCAGACCATGGGAACAGGGGTTTATGGGGGGTTTTATGGGGTAAAAATGGGGTTTTCCCATTTTTTACCCTAAAAACAAAAGATTTTGCAATATCTTTCTAAACCATTTCGTAGAGCTTAAAAAAGAAATAATTTAGTATATTGAAGCATTGTTGTATGCCTAATTGTTACAAAGAAAATTCAAAAAAGTGTAAATTTAAAATTCCCATGCTATTCTTATGGAGAAAATGAAAACTGTTGTAGTTTACTTGTTTATGGATATATGTCTGATAAAATTTGGCAAATTTATTAATTTCATACTACTATTGACCTTTGGTCAAAAAACACTTTTTACCTTCCCCGTAGCAGCATACCTAAGCACTTGTTAAATCTAGTGCTATTTAAGTTGGGAATAAATACTCGTATGTCTTATTTATAGAAATATTTTAGTAAAAAATATAATCAGACAAGTGGAAATTCGCTTAGTCTGCAGGTTTGCTGCAGCGGAGATATTTTGCAAATATTATTGATTAATAACATATTAGCTGACTCATCACGCTGCAACTTAAGCAGGATTCTAAACGCTCTTTTTTGCTCCTCCTTTAAAATGCTATCTAGATTACATTTTTTTTGTTCAGCCGTAAAGTGCTATGCCAAACAAGATATGTGAATGCATGTTCCAACCTTTTTAAAATATATTTTTAAAAGTTTTTTTAATCATAGTAAAGACATTTTTGATTAAACATTAATTCCGGAAAAATTTTTATTAAAATTTTGTGGACATGTTTATCGCAATTTAAGTGCTGATCCAGTGTTAAACCCAAAAAGTTGGTTCTATTTTCTTCAATAATATTTTGTAAGTTATAGCTTATTGTTGTTGGCTCCTTGTGTCTATTTTGCATTGTCTTAAAATTTATAAACTTTGTTTTTTGTAAATTCATCATCAAAGTTGTGGTTATTAAGGTAATTTCCAATACTTTAATTCCAATTCTACATAAGCGAACATTTCTGTTTGCTCAATTGAGTTGGATGATATGACCAAATTCAAGTCATCAGCATACAGACATAGTGTTGCTGAATTTTGTTTAAAAAAAGAGAGAAAGAAAAAACAGGGGCCCTATTGCGCCTTGTGGCACTCCAAAAACTATTGGCTTATGTTGATTGTTGAGCATTATTTAATAGTTCTATTGTAATTTGTCAAGTGAGTGATTTCGGCTGCACTTTACTTGATGTCCTACACTCATTCGAATGAAAAAATCGATTGCTTCATTCGATATATCGTTTGGTTAGTTAGGTAAGGTTAACCTAACCTAACTAACCAAACGATATATCGAACGAAACAATCGAATGAAAATATCGAATCGAAAAAACAATCGAATGAGTGTAGGACGTCAAGTAAAGTGCAGCCGTGATTTCTATGTATTGAGATCTTTCAGTGAGATATGATGTTAAAACCAATTAAGAGATTTTGCTACTCCTGGTTTTTGAAGTTTTTCAAATAGTGTAGAATGCCTAACACTGTCGAATGCCATGGATAGGTCCATAAATATTCCAGCTGTACATTTTCCCTTATCAACAGACTCAATTACAGTTTCAATAAAAGACACAGCAGCACTAATACAACTGGTCTTCCATACAGAAATCCATGCTGCTTATCATCTAAAAGATTAAACTGTTCTAAGAATTTTGAAAATTGAACATATAGACAAATAAGCTTAAACCCCTCTTTTTTTGTTTCAAAACTGAACATTTTTCCGGGGGGGGGGGGACCCCCGGACCCCCATTGTTTGCTGGAGGGTATTCCATACCCCCCGGTGTTTGCCCCCCCCCCAAGGATTTGGTGAAATGACGCCACTGGGTTGTGGGTGCACAGTATAAATGCGAGTAAAATAAATGAAAGAGAATTTCATACCTTGTTCCCACGTTTGATTGAGGACAACAATCACTACAAAACCACGTCTGCTACTTATACTGTCAATGCCTACTGTCACTGTCACTGTTTCGTGGTGAGTAGAAGTCGTCTGCGCATGTGCGAGCTCTCCGCTCTCCGGCGCCGGAAGCCTATCGCTTCTCATCCAACGATGTAAATAACTACTATTGTTCTCATCCGAAATAATTTTACCGGACCGGACCTGACGCACCGGACCCAAGGGATGATTGAGATTATAGGCAGGGTCTTGAACCCCTACTAAACCATTCACCATTACACTACTGATTCTAAATACACCTCCCACATAATGTTATACAGAATCCAATATGTGTTTGTATCTCATACATCCTTTTATGAATTGCCAGATGCAGTGTGGGGACTTGAGTGAAAATTTAAAAACGTACGTTTTCAGGAAAAGCACTTTGCAAATTTTTTTCCCCTTTTTTCAAAACTTTTATTATTTTTTTTATTTCATTAACATTTGAAGTTTCATAAAATGTCCATGGTAACGCAATATCTTTGGTAGTTTCTTTTTAAAAGAGCATCTTTAGTGGAAAAACACAAAATCCTGTCACGACCATAACGGACGTTTATATGAATATTAAAAATAGTTAATATTATTTTTATAGCTATGTTTTGCTATAAACTAAATTACTTTTATGACCATTATACAATAAAAAGGTCACTGAGCTTTTGGTATATTTGGTCTTTCTAGAAAAAAATAATAAAACTCAAAAAATTGAAAAAAAGCCAATAAAATCTTTTTAAGTTTGTATAACTCCGAAAAAACTTACCTGAGACCCGAAAAATCGTTATGTTTGTATAGAGGTGTGCATCTTTTGTGTATAAAACATTAAAATATGACGATATTTTAATTTTTTTAATTTTTATGATAGAAATCATAAACGTGATGGTCAGGGACAAGCGGTACGGTCGTGAATTGTCTGGAAAAATCTAAATCTTTCTAAACAATCCTTCAATTATCCTGTTAGTTATAATAAAAATATGTGTTTCAATTGAACTAAACTGTTCAATTTACAATTATATTAAAGTTATTGTCATGACCAAACACATTATAATCCATAAGGCTGGACTGGTCGTGAAAAAACCCACGATGGTCGTGAAACTTTGGTCGTGATATTACGTGTTATTTGGCTCTGTTCTGGCGGTAGCCCTGCACCTCATGTTCGAGGATACAAAGTGGACTTCTAGGTTAATCTAGCAATTGAAATATCTTATAAACAAAAATTAACACCATGTCTACTTCATCGAATGACTACGTACGGTCATGGACACACCAAAATTACAAAAAACACAATCTTTCCTTTATTAATCTTGTAATTCCTCCTTTCAACTCGAAACGACCGGCACTACAATCCTGACGTACACCCCGAACTAGTCTCTAAAACCAACTGACTCCATTGATGCCAGGCTTGCCACTGTCGTGCTCCAAAGTTGAAAATTTTTCCCAAATGGTCGTGACGCCAAATCGAGGGACAGACTTATTTTGTCATGGTAGTCAGTTTTTAATGACAATAAAATTATAATATGCTCCTTTTTTGTAAGTTTAATAACCATTGATGACATAAAAATATGACTTTATATATTTTGGCATGAATAATTAGTCTAAAAACAGCGTGAAAGTTGGAAAATGTACCCTAGGGACACGTCATGGTCGTGAATTTCGAGACTTTAAAAATACGAAAAAAATACCTAGAACCTATTTAAAACTAAATAAATGTGTGTAACATGTTGCCCCCGTCCCAAAAAATATTAAAACACATAATAATAAACTACAAATCCAGTATCTACGAAGTAAAAGGCCAGGGACATGAAAACGTACGTTTTTAAATTTTCACTCACTTCCATTTGAATTCATGGTTTTAGAATTTACCTGATCCGGCATGCCTGAAGGTCACACTTATCAGTCTAGTCGCAGTTCTTTTACAGTCCAGTCTCAGTTGCATCCGCAATTTCTCAGTCAATTGTCCGTCAGTTGGGTTTAGCGGTTTAAGGCATTGAGATATAGATTATAACTGGAGTCACTACTCTCTGGTTAAACATTAGAGAAAAACGTGCCACTGTTTTTGCTGGTTTGTTTTCGGTGTTTCGTGTTGTTAGGTTGGCCGTGTGATCGGTTGGTGGGATGCTGTCAAAGTCAAATTCCAATTCATTCTAACCTAACCATACTATTCATTTGAGGTTAGGCCTATCCGTTATTTCAAGGACTTAAAAAACTTATTTAAGACATCGCACGTTAAAACCTGTGCATTTAAAGTTATTTTGAAACATTATAAATTGTTTTTGATGATAAATAAATAGGCTACTAACTTATTTACCTCTTTTCAAGCTATGTGGTGAAAATAGGCTAGTCACGTTTCCTGGTTTGGAGATATTGGTTTATTGGTTTAGTCTTGGGTTTATTGTGGCAGGTTTACCTATGGCATTTGATAAAGAACGACCATCGGCTTATGATCTTGTTAAAACGGGTTTATCTTGCACGTATAATAAATAATTAAACTTATATTGCAATCATAATGTTGACATATTTTTGTTTGCTATCAACAAGACAATAGACAATAGGATGACGCCATCTTGATTTTTCCTCTAATTTGACAAATCCCACCAACCGATCACCTGGCCAACCTAACAACACGAAGCTCTAAAACAAAAACATCAAAAACAGTGGTACGTTTTTAAAACACAGAGTGGTTACTCCAGTTATATTATTATAGCTCAGTGGTTTAAGGTCGATTCACACACATCAGTCCAGTCACAGTTCCGTTACAGTCCAGTTGCAGTTCAGTTACAGTCCAGTCACAGTTGCATCCGCAATTTCTCAGTCAATTGTCCGTCAGTTGGTTTCAGTCAGTCTTCCGTCTCTAATATTTACAGTATTTTACAGTTAAAAAATTTAAATTTTAAACCTATATTCTATTAAATTATCATTGTCAATCTTGTTGATTGTTACAAACAGTACTCCAAATACAAACGCAACCATTTAAATAACAATAACACTATTTCCTAACCTTAAACAGTTCCGTCAGGCGTCCGGAGAATCAAAAAGTATCGTTGGAAAGAAATCTGAAATTGATTGACGGATGCCAGCAGAGTGACTGACGGGACTGCAACGGATGAGTGTAGATAGCGCAATAGAAAATCCATCAATGAATATTTTTGTTAACTGTGACGTGCTTGAAGTGACTTTACTGTGACGTGCCGTAACTGATGTGTGTGAATCGACCTTTTTTTGACTGTAAATTACTGTAAATATTAGAGACGGAAAACTGACTGAAACAAACTGACGGACAATTGACTGAGAAATTGCGGATGCAACTGTGACTGGACTGTAACTGAACTGCAACTGGACTGTAACGGAACTGTGACTAGACTGATGTGTGTGAATCGACCTTAAAGGTAGATTCACACATATCAGTTCAGTCACAGTTCCGTTACAGTCCAGTAACAGTTCAGTCTCAGTTGCATCCGCAATTTCTCAGTCAATAATCCGTCAGTTGGTTTCAGTCAGTCTTCTGTCTCTAAAATTCACAGTAATTCACAGTCAAAAGTTTTAAATTATAAACCTATATTTTATCAAGTTTTCATTGTCCATCTTGTTGATTGTTACAAACAGTACTCAAAATATAAACACAACCATTTAAACAACAATAACACTATTTTCTAACCTTAAACCGTTCCGTCAGTCGTCCGAACAATCCAAAAGTATCGGTGGAAAGAAATCTGAAATTAACTGACGGATGCCGGTAGAGTGACTGACGGGACTGCAACGGATAAGTGTAGATAGCGCAATAGAAAATCCATTGAATATTGTTGTTAACTGTGACGTGAGTGACTGGACTGTGACGTTCGGTAACTGGGGCCCTATTTTTGAAATGGTTGACAGTTGAGTCGATCGTCAGCACAGCACTCAACTCAACCAACAACAAGATTTGGTATTTTTGAAACCCAACAGTTGGGAAGCGAGTTGGGAATCACTAGTTGAGTGACTCGTGGTGGAAATGTAGAGCATACGACCGCACGAAATTCAGATGACGTCATTTTCAACCAATCACAATGCAGAGTTCTTGCGATCTTCGATTTAACCTCTTCTTACTCTAAAATGTGGCAGCTAATCTCAATCTACCATATTTCGAGACACTGAGGTAAACTGTCAACTCCGTTCTTGAGAGATTGAGGTTATGTCTTCAATCTTAGTGATTGCAAAAGTACCTTAACTTATAAAATAAAATAAACTTAAGTATTAAAAATAAAATTTACTATGGATGTTTGTTTTAGGGTGTAGCTAATTATAAGTTTAGGCATATCCTAAATACATTATTATTTGCTTTCTTCGTCTCTATTTTGAAACACATCACCTTATTTTAGTTTCCTTCATCGGTTTGCTTGATGTTATTTTAATTGTGTTTTATTTAGGGTAAAGGTTAAAGCGGCTATTTGCCATTGCACTGAAAGCATATCGTAACTTAAATTAATTTGATACCTTTATTAGGTGAATGGTATTGAAACAAACTATGATATTGTTACCACAATCTTTAATACCTTAAATCATAGGTCTAATAACAATAGGCCTGATTATCTTTTAATAAGTTCAATTAGTATGCCTAGTGCATTTCAAACAAATTAAATAGTCTTATAACAAAGTAAATAGATTAAATAGTCTAGTATTGACACAGTAAATAAAATTAACAATCGCATAAAGTATTGGGTGCTAAGACATTGACAACAAATACATAACCTCTAAATCGCAATTAATTAATTAGTAAATTAAAATTAAAGCAATAACAAAACAATATGGCGTCGACTCAAAAAGAGTAATTTTGGCCGAAAGAGAGGAAGAAGAAAGTGCAGTCAACCTCCACTCAACAGCTCGATAGGTGTTGAGTAGTTTTGGTTGTACAAGTCCACCGTCAATCGTTTCAAAAATACGAAACGATTGGAAATAGAATGACTCGACACTCAACTCAACAGTCAACCATTTCAAAAATAGGGCCCCTGATGTGTGTGAATCGACCTTTAGTCAGTATTCCGGCTCTAAAATTTACAGTAATTTACAGTCACAATTTTTTAGTTATAAACCTATATGCTATCAAATTATCATTGTCCATCTTGTTGATTGTTACAAACAGTACTCAAAATGTAAACACAACCATTTAAATAACAATAACACTATTTTCTAACCTCAAACAGTGAAACAGTTTCGTCAGGCGTCCGAACAATTAAAAACTATCGGTGGAAAGATATATGAAATTGACTGATGGATGCCAGCAGAGTGACTGACGGGACTGCAACGGATGAGTGTAGATAGCGCTATAAAAAATCCATTAAAGAATATTTTTGTTAACTGTGACGTCACGTGCCTGAACTCCTGGGGCCCTATTTTTGAAATGGTTGACTGTTGAGTTGAGTGTCGAGTCATTCTATTTCCAATCGTTTCGTATTTTTGAAACGGTTGACGGTGGACTTATACAACCAAAACTACAAACTACTCAACACCTATCGAGCTGTTGAATGAAGGTTGAGTGCACTTTCTTCTTCCTCTCTTTCGGCAAAAAATTACTCTTTTTGAGACGACGCCATATTGTTTTGTTATTGCTTTAATTTACTAATTGCGATTTAGAGGTTATGTATTTGTTGTCAATGTATTAGCACCCAATTATGCGATTGTTTTCTGTAGAATAATCGCATTTTAATTTTATTTACTGTGTCAATACTAGACTATTTAATCAAGGGTTTTATTCTTGTTGGAATGTTTGAAATAGACTAGGCATACTAATTGAACTTATTATAAGATAATTATTGTTATTAGACCTGTGATTTAAGGTATTAAAGATTGTGGTAGAGAGAAACAATATCATAGTTTGTTTCAATACCATTCACCTAATAAAGGGATCAAATTAATTTAAGTTACGATATGCTTTCAGTGCAATGGCAAATAGCCGCTTTAACCTAAATAAAAAACAATTAAAAATAACATAAAACAAACCGATGAAGGAAACTAAAATAAGGTGATGTGTTCCGAAATAGAGACGAAGAAAGCAAATAATAATGTATTTAGGATGAGTGTAGGACCTAAAGTAAAGTGCAGCCTATGCCTAAACTTATAATTAGCTACACCCTAAAACAAACATCCATAGTAAATTTTATTTTTTATACTTAAGTTTATTACTTTATATTTAGTTTACTTTAGTTTATTACTTAAGTTAAGGTACTTTGCAATCACTAAGATTAAGCAAGACATAACCTCAACCTCAATCTCTCAAGAACGGAGTTGACAGTTTACCTCAGTGTCTCGAAATATGGCAGATTGAGATTAGCTGCCAGATTTTAGAGTAAGAAGAGGTTAAATTGAAGTCCACAAGAACTCTGCATTGTGATTGGTTCAAAATGACGTCATCTGAATTTTTGACGGTCGTATGTTCTACATTTCCACCACGAGTCTCTCAACTAGTGATTCCCAACTCGCTTCCCAACAACTGTTGGGTTTCAAAAATACCAAATCATGTTGTTGGTTGAGTTGAGTGCTGACGATTGACTCAACAGTCAACCATTTCAAAAATAGGGTCCCAGATGTGTGTGAATCAATCTTGATCCGATTTTACCGGACCGGAGTGACCGAACGCAGTGTGTGACAAGCCTTCACGGGAAAGAAATAGCCGAGAGGCTTCTGACGCAGTCAATCACATCCAACTCTAATACATTAATCCCCTCGCATTTTGCCAGTCTAATACATTAATGTATTATAGGTGGCTGTGAGTCAATCCCACAAGCTTGGTCAAAGACGAAATGTTTTTTCTTTCCACCATGGAAGACATCAAGTATCAAGTAAGAAGTAAAGTGTGAACGTCATGAAATCGTGACATCGAGCCTACATCATGGAGCGTCCCGTGAGCCTTGCGGGAACTCGACCCGACTGACACTAATGCACATAAAAAAAACTTAAGACCGAGACGAGACGGAGACGAGACGACTAGACGAGAGACGAGACAACGGAACTGGAAGACCATCTGATCTGACCAATGAAATGACCATATGTCTCCCTGTCAGTGTTGCCACTTTTAGGGTAATTACCCTTTTTTAGGGTAATTTACTGGTCTTAGGGTAAAGTTTAGGGTAATGGTAGATTTGGAGTAATTTTAGGGTAAAACTAAAAGTTAGCATAACAATGGAAATTTTACTAAAAACATGAAAAAAAAACTTCAAAATTTGGCAAAATACGTTCATTACATACTATGGCCAAACCATCATATTCGATTCAACCGGTTTAAATCGATCGCTATAATGAATTTTTCATAATAAGTTATCCTAATCGATCTTATCAATAGTTGTGAATTTATTTATTTATTTTATTTATTTATTTATTGCATACACGGCAAACGCCATTTTACAGGAGAGTTGAGTTGAGATTGATAGTTAGTGCGATCAATAATTAAATATTTTAGCAAGTATGAAATACTAATAAATAATATGAAATATAAAAATATGAAATACGATAACAATACAGTTTTGATTAATAAAATATCATGATTTACAGGACGTGACAGCTATACAGGCATGTTGCACGAAAAACAAAATAAATAAGAAAATTTAACAACAAAAACAATCATAAATATAGACTATTAACAACAAAAACTACATGACAAACCATTTTGAACAAGACAATATGGATCAATTACAACAAAAACAATATAAATAGACTGAATTATCTGTTTTAGAATGTATTCGATTCTATAACACGTTATAGGCCAAATAAAATATGAAATATTATTCATTACTGGGTTTGATATTTAATTATGTGATTGAATTGAATTAAACTGGATTATTTTACAAATTGTGTCAAGAAATTACTACTATGTATACTGTATAGATTAAAGCTTTGGTGATACCGTACTGTATTTTAAAGATATGATTGTCCAAAAAACAGTAGTAATGGGTCGATACAGTAAAAAATACGATAGTTCTTGATTCGATATTTTTCGTATATACGATAGAGCTGAAGCTGAATATCAACATTTTGTTCTTCTTTCGGGTTGTTTTTTAGAATCGAGTATAATTTTACGTAAATTGATTGATATTGGAACTTCATTTAGTATAATTAACCACCTTATGTAAGATTTATATGATTTTAACAATGTTTTATAGCATTAAACGCAAATATTAACATTTAGGGTAATTTTTAGGGTAACTCAAAGTAGATTTAGGGTAATTTTAGCCCGCCTTTAGGGTAAAATCGCAACAACGTGGTGGCAACACTGCTCACTGTCATCTGGATCTGATGACCAAACGCCGTGCCGTGACCCGTGACCCGTGATATATATATTTATTTCGCACTTCACAGAAAAATGGTAAGAATTATCCAATAATTTACTAGTAATCCTCATGATTACCATGTCAACACAAATTCACCTATATATTAGGAGGGATTGGGAATCGAATTAAATGGATTAATTGCGTTTTAAGTCACGCCGTACAGAATTTGGTATTAATATAAAATGTTAACCTAACCTATTCAAAATAAGTTTCTTTTAAGTCATAAGTCGTTTATTCAGCAAAATTAACATAAAATGCATTAGCTACGTCATAAACAAAATAAAATAACCTAAGTTTAGGCCTACAGTATATACATAAAAAAAAACATTTTTAAAATTAGTACCAAAAAAGGTCTTTTATAAAAGTATAATTTTGGGTCTAGAATGCAAGTAAGTAGGCCTAAGTAGCATAGACCTAATGGTAATGGCATTAAACCTATTGAGAATGGCTGTCAGAGTCAGATAAGTGCCGGAATGCCAATTAAAGTAGGCTACCTGGAAGTTTTTTTTTGAAATTTTTGTTGGTTTGATTACAAGCTGGCCTAAGTTAGCTTAACATGACCAGGTACTGTAGGTAGGGCTGGCCCAGCATACCTATGTGGTTTTAACCCTCCCAGTGTTACTTGACGAAAATTCGACAAGCAGCACACTTTGTGTAGTGTTACTTGTCGATTTTTCGACACGCAGACATCGTTTACGGCGAAGGCTCTATGACTGACTGAATCGGATTGAACTGGATCGAGTTAGGTATCGTTCTTTCCGTAATATTCTAAGCTTTCTCCAGAGGTCTGTCTCTAAGCGCTATTCATTTTAGTTCCGAAAATATTGTAGCAGACAGCTGACGTGCGTGTATTTGTAAACAGCTAGGTTCCCCCGGACCGATGACTGATGTGTTTTATTACGTTTATCATTGTTTTAGTGTTAAAAATCAAAAGTAGTGATATACGTGGTGCATTATAAGAAGATTTAAACTTAAGTGGTTTTGAAGTGCTGGTTGATGATCCTGAAGAAGTAGGTAGTGATATTGATGTAAATTATCAGCCAGATTCCTAGCTATGGTTAGGCTATGCATTCTTAGCTAAACGCTATGTACTGAAATCAGTTTTTTGCCCATAACTTATTTATTTGCAAATATACTTCCTTATATTATTATATATTTGTAATCCTCAAAAAATTTAGAACAAAGTGGCTATTTTCAAATATTTATAGGCCTATAATTTATACAATTTCATTGAGCGCGAACTTATTTTTTTTTTGAAAATTTTCGAAAATATATTTTTTTTACCTAAAAATTTTTTTTTTGAAAAAATGTTCCTTATGTTTTATATATAATATTGAAGCCCATGATTTTCCAAACAAAATGGTATATAGAACATTAGAATTAACATTGTTTTAAGCTTCTCAGATCCGTTTTAATAAAACCTTGCAAATGTGCCAAAAATAGGTGGACATTAAGGCCTAAACTATGGACACTTGGAGGGTTAAGAAGTCTCATGCTTAACTGGCTGGAATTTATTTTTATTTTCTCCCCCTATTACCATGGAGAAAGTAGGCTATTGTCAAAATTTTTGAGTTTGGGGTAAAAATTTAGGACCCAGACCCCAGCTTAAAAACACTCTGAAGTGTGAAATTGTGTAAAGAGTGTATAAAATGAAGTTTTGGAGGATAAAAATTGGGGGAAAAGCAATTCCAGTCCTAAATATTGACTGGAATTTAATAAAACCGACCCTAACAACAGTTCCTCCAAAACCTCAATATAGGCCTACACCAATTTTACACAATTCCACACTTCAAGAATGTTGGATTCACTATATCGGCGTGAAAAATTCACAAGGAATATGCACTCGACATATAATTTACTTACTGCTGTCTCACTCAAAAATAACCAAAACCGGCACGCACGGAGAGCACCATGTCTTTGGTTTGCCGATAGCCAACCAGCAACTAGCCTACAACGAAAATTGAAATCACTTAGTCCAACAAATACATAATGATAGGTATCCACATACGGTATTTCATTAGGAATCACCCCGTTTTCTACATAATGTCCGAACGCGATTTTCCGACTAGAGTTACACAGGACACTGCCTCCTGCATTGATCACATATTTGTGCGTTACTGTGACATGGCTGCTGTGCGCGCTGCTGTACTGCACACTAGCCTCACCGACCACTATGCAACCGCCCTCACTATACATGACACTGCATACACTCACGCACACACACTTAACATTCACACTGCAACCGGACCTTCTCAAACTTACCTTGATCACACCCTTCTCACTCAAAATCTCTCTCAGACCGACTGGGGACCTGTCCTAAACTGTATAGATATCAATATGTGCTGTGAAATGTTTTACAAAAATCTAGATTTTTCTTTACAAAATGCAAAAAAACCTATAGCTTCAAGATCATCTAGACGTAAAAGAATTAAACCATGGATTACTGACAGTTTGGTCAAATCAATACGTACTAGAGACAAATTAAGTAAAGCCACTCGTCGTGAACCATTTAATGATTATCTACAAACTTATTATAGGAATTACAGACAAAACCTATGCAATCTATTAAAAAGAGCCAAACGAGATTTTTACAGGGAAAGATTTACCAGAACAATAGGAATCCAAAATTGTTTTGGGGACTGATCAATAATCTTGCTGGCAGGCCACGTAATAAAAATTCATTTCCAATCGATAAATTTATTCCCAGCATGTCTCATGATACTCAAGCCGCAAAACACGAGATAGCAGATGATTTTAATAACTTCTTTGCTTCTGTTGGAGTGAATCTATCGAAGCAGATAGATGCGGGTGGGACCCCAATGGTTGTTGACTCTGACTACAGACTGGACTCTACTTTCACATTGCAAACTGTTTCTGCACAAGACGTACTACGACACATCTCCGAGCTGCGCGGTGGCTCAGCTCCGGGTCTGGACGAAGTTTCGGCTGATTTACTTAAACAAAACGCACTCATAATTTACATTCCGCTGCTACACATAATTAATCTATCTCTACTGACTGGTATATTCCCGGCTCAATTCAAAACTGCAAAAGTAATTCCTTTATTTAAAACAGGTGATCCAAAAGACTGTAACAACTTTAGATCAATCTCATTGTTAAGCGTGTTTTCCAAGGTTTTAGAGCGTATTGTCAAGGAGCAGTTGGTGGAATACCTTCATAATAACAATATAGGCTATTATCTAATTCACAATTTGGGTTTAGAAAAGATAAAAACATCTCTGATGCACTTTTTGAAGTATGTAAATCTATAAATAACTCAATGGCAAATAACAATCGTTCTATGTTAATTTTCTTAGATTTAAAAAAAGCATTTGACTCAATTAACAGAAACTTGTTGATAGCAAAATTGGAACAGATCGGTGTCAGAGGCACTGCTCTCGCCTGGTTCAAAAACTATTTATCTGACAGACATCAAGTAGTTTCCATTTGTGGTGTGAATAGTGATGCAAATTCAATTGAGTATGGGGTTATTCAGGGAAGTACTCTGGGGCCTAGATACTTTTTCTAATCTATATAAATAACATTTCAAAACTGAACCTGGATGGTGAACTATTTTTATTTGCTGACGACACATTAGTTTTGTTAAAGGGTCGTTCTTGGGAGGATGTCAGGTCTAAAGCTCTCCGTGACCTCTCACTTCTAAAAAAATGGCTAGATCAAAATGTGCTCTCACTTAATGTGAACAAGACTAAATTTATTCCGATATCACTCAGTACAAGCACTGATTATAGTCTAGACAATTTGAAGATTCATTGTTGCGGCGACCATAACAGTATATCTTGTAATTGTGAATACATTGAAAAAGTAGATTATTACAAATATTTAGGTGTTTATTTTGACTACCGAATGAGGTGGTCAGAGCATGAGCATGATTTCTTAAAGAAAAGGATTCGTAAATACATATATGCTTTTAATCAACTGAGTGTCATTTTGGACGAGGAGGACGTAAAGAGAGCTTATTTCGCTTATGTACAATCCTTGATTTCATTTGGTATTATATGCTGGGGAGCATGCTATCACACCACCTTGGAACCCTTGAATGTGGTCCAAAGATCAATTTTGAAAGTAGCTTTTAGAAAAAATAAAAGGTACTCCACTGATGCGCTATTCTGTGAGACGGGAGTATTACCAGTCAGACATATTTTCATTCAGTTTCTTCTTAGTCACACATTCAAAAACTCAAACACGATCCTTACAGCAGTCACACATCAACACTACACAAGATATTCACACAATGTTGGAATATCTGTCCCTCAGCTACATAAGTCAGTTCTAACTACCAACTGTTTTTATGTTGCTCAGATTCTATATCGAAATCTAATTCAAAAATATAATATTCAACACATTTTTAGTTTACCCTCAATACAGAAATTCAAAAAACAGATGCTTGTTTTACTGCACACGATTACCAATGAAGAGGCCGAAACTTTGATCAGACCTAACCTTACTTGACCCTGACTAAACAATCCTTGACCCTTCGACCCCCTCGCCCTCACAATGTCTCCTGTCTTAGATTGCACTGGCTTTGGTTGTCGTCGCCGACATTCTCTTATCCGCTAAACGATTAAGTTAAATTAACAAGGCTTAAAAACCTTCCCAATTTTAGTGTGTGCCCTCAATTTGCTTAGACTGATAACAGCCAGGCCTACGCACAGGCACCTGCCCATGTAGGCCTATCCCATAAGTAAGGCAAATTTTATTTTATTTTAGAAATATTGTACTGTTAGTTGTATAGCTACTCTCTGTTTTAGTTTATATTCTTGGGATAAATAAACGTTTTTCATTTCATTTCATTTCATTTCAATAAGAATGAAAATTAAACACAAATTTGAGCTACGTCCTCCTTGGTCACTACTTCACTTTGAACTAACAAACATGGAGTCATGGAGACGGTTCAAAACAAACAACTAACAACGAAACCACCAGCCAATCAGATTACTACACGAAAGAAATAATCTGCCAATCAGAAATCTGTACAATTACATCATCTGTTGATCTGTTGTTTTGACCACAAACCAAAACAATAGCAATGCAGTTGCAGTGACAGGTCACTGTACCACAATTACCCCTAGAATTCCCTCAATTTAACCTGAATTCCCTCTGTATATCTCGTAAAACCCCGTTTTTAATAGCAAAGTACAGCAGTTAAGATTTTAACATGTAGATCTTATGAACACTCACTTTTTGAGAAAAAAATAACCGTTGATTATGAAATGAAACTGTTCTGAACTAACCAAACCAACCAAACTTGCTGTACGATTCCCAGAGGAAAAAATAATAGTTCATTATGAAATGAAACTGTTCTAAACTAACCAACCAACCAAACTTGCTGTATGATTTCATAAATCGGTTTTGTAAGAGAACTCGTTAGCTAGATATACAACCAAACAGTAAAGTACAAACCATGAAATTAAATAACAAATTATGTTACATAATCTGATCTAATCTAACCCAACCTAACCCAACCTTAATATTAATGTTTAAATAGCAGTTAAATGTCAGAAAAGGCATGTGAGGAAGATAGGTCGGACTTTATGCGGATTCGTGACTATATTAAGTCCTTTGAAGTGAGGTTAGATTAGGTAAGTTAAAGGTTAGGTTATAATGAACCGACTCATTAATTTATGCAACTTCCAGACTGTTTTTGCACAATTAAAATAGTGGGTGAAACACAATGAAATAACAATATCAAAAATGCTTGCGCAAAAATGCTTATCAAAAAGTCATAAGTATGATGGTAAAAAGTTATTTTCACCTATAATTATGTATCAATTTGAGAACGTTTTGAATTTTTTGCGCATTTCGAGAAAATGGAGTGTACAGTATTTAGTAGCCTATATAATTTTTTAACCAAATTTTTTACACCCAAACCAATATAAACATGTTGTAGTGTATTCATTTACCTTTATAAAAATGTATAACACCTTGGGTAAATCATTATATATCATATATATATCATCTCTGAATGTCAGAATCGTCATTTTTGGACATGATGCTAACAAAATACAGTATTTAGTATAGGCTATAACTTTTTTACAAAATTTTTTACCCCCAAACCATTATAAACATGTTGTAGTGTATTCATTTACCTTTACTATAAAAATGTATAACACCTTGGGTATATATCATATTTGCTTACTAACAAGGATTACTAAGCATATAGTAATATAGCATTCAAGCATGGCGAACTAAGGTCCGTCTCGTACAACAATCTCTGAATGTCAGAATCGTCATTTTAGGACATGATGCTAACAAAATACAACCTTTTATGAACACTATTTCACACAATTCAGTAATATTTATGCATGAAGATTACTGTTATATACACACACACAAACTTCACTAACACTAACACTACGAACTAATAACGTATTTAGTAATAAATCACGGATAACACGAGAACGAACACTATTACCGGCAACAACACAAACAAACAATGGCGAATACAAGACAGCTGACAGACTGTAGCAGTAATGACTCACTTCCGTCGTCTACATGCGAGCATACAGAAATAACCCTGAGTGCAGGGCTGCCACTCTCTGAATCTATATTTCTTCCTCTTCAAAATGACATACTATATGACTAGTAATAATAAATTACACTGTATGTAATTCGTATTTTCCACATCGTCACCTGACGACCATTGGCCATTTGTTAAAAATTTCGAAAACAGCTGTTTTCATAAAATCGTACCGGTTGTGCAATCAATATTTCGTTCTAAATATTACTACCACAATGAAGATAAAATCAATGGCTATTCAGTGGTACCACCCGCAACATCCCACGACGAAAATTACCTGAGCAGGGTAATGCCAAACAAGACGTGTTTTGCCAGTTCCCATGTGTCGGCTGCAAAAGTCATGCCGCGCCAAAAATTCATTTGATTTCTAATCGTCGTGACATTGTTATATACCTGCTACAGGGTTTGTTTATGTAATAAAATGAAAGTTCAGAATGTGATCTTTCGAATGGTATATATATTATTTTCATCTGAGTTGATTATACGTGTTTTTTTACCGCAAAAAAAATTTCGGCCCACATCGTCACCAGACGACTTTGGCCATTCTAAGCATCAACGTCAGATCGTCACCAGACGACGATCGGCCACTGCTATGGTTAACATACGCTAGTATGTTATGGTCCTTACAATTTCGATAGTTTTTTAATTTATTAGAAATTTTGATTTTTAATGGGGATTTTCCCATAAAACCCCATAAAATAGCAGAAAAAATGGGATTTTCCCAAAAATGGCCTGAACGATTTTGATAAAAATTTAGTATGTTATAGTCTTTTATATTCTGAACAAAATGGTACAAATCCCATTTCTGTAAAAATTATGGGTTAAAAGTTACGGTACCGTATTGTAAATTATGTTATTTTCCCATAAAAACCCCATAAAATAACGGAAAAGTCGGATTTTCCCAAAAATGGCCGGAACAATTTTGATAAAAATTTAGTATGTTATAGGCCTAGTCCTTTAAATTCTGAACAAAATTGTACGAATCCTATTTCCGTATATTTACTCTCACCGCTTACACATAGGATAAAGGTCGTTGACAAACTTATGGGAGAAAGTATGTGTCAGAATGCTGATACCGTACCGTTTATTGTTTTTCTTAACCTAGGCTAGGGGAAGGTGTTGTACCTTGGACCTATGCTCATTCTGGCACTGGCACTATCTGTTGAGTAAAGGGAGAACTTGTACCCTTAGTTTATGCTTTAGCCACCAGAGGTCTATCCTAATGTGTTCAATTTGGAATTGAATGTGTCCTTTTGACAAGAAAACTAAAACAAGTTTTTACAAGGAAAAAGTAGGTATATTAAACTTTTAATTTTCTTTTATGTTAGATTTAATGATTGTTTATCTCAGCTGGCAATTTGATGCTATAATCCAACAACTCAGCTACAGTTTCATATGATTCACACCATGTTAATCCTAACCTAGAATAGTCTAGAACCAAGTTTTTACAAAATGGCCAGGTGTTGTACCTGGGACCTAGCTCATAGGTAGTTTGTACCTTGGACCATAGTAGCTTAGACTACTAAAAGCAGACGTTAATAATTCTGTCAAAAAGGTTTATTATAGGCATTTGTAATTTAATTTGCTAAAAACGAACAGGACAGAGCCCCCAAGACAGTTAGACGAATATTTTACGTAGGCCTTAACTAGCTATAAGTGAACTTGAGTGAATTTCTTACAAAATATGATTAAAATATGTATTGTAAGGGCCAGTTTTGTTATATTTGATAAAATAAAAACTAATTATTAATTTGATAATATTTAAATGTGTTTCCTCTACTTAAAAATCAGTGGTCCAAGGTACAACATATGTAGGTGTGAGGTACAACATAGGTATTGTACCTTGGTCCTAATGTCTTTTTTTTATTTTTTTTTAAAGTTGAATAACTTTTTTTGTTGAGTGAAAATAAATGGTTAAATAAAATATATGTAAATTATGAATTGGTCTCCATGGAAGCATGAGAAAATTCACAATTTTACCTTTGCGTTGAAGTTTTTATATCTAGGCCCTAGTCTATATAAAAATGTCAACGCAAAGGTAAATTATGTGATTTGAAAAGATAAACCTATTTATTTTTTTCAAATTAAATCATAGAGTTACAGTATTTTTACACACACACATCAGCACCACTTATGTACTGTAATAGTACTGTAAATTGCCTAGGAAATTTAAACCCCTTGTACAAGTAGCCTATGAAGAAAATACTAGCTACTACACTGAGTGGTAAAATTAAGGTCTGTTATTTAAAATAATATATTTGTAACTACTTCAACCAGCAGATATAAATAACATAATTATTCTCTTCCGCGTCCTCTTTCCGTTGCAAAGCGCAGGAGTAGTAGTTTGTTTAACATTTAATATTGATTTAACAATAATTTCAATAACATAGAGTTATGTAACCTCTCTTTACGATTGTTCTGGGAGAATTTCTAAATATACATTAAGTTAAAGATCCTGACAAATTTGTGTTTCAGCAACCACAAATAATATTACTGAAAGAGGGTACAGAAAATTCTCAAGGGAAGCCACAACTGATATCTAACATCAATGCCTGCCAAGCAGTGGTGGAAACTGTCCGAACCACACTCGGACCCAGGGGCATGGACAAACTCATAGTTGATCAAGGAGGAAAGGCTACAATATCAAATGATGGAGCCACTATCATGAAGCTACTGGAAATTGTTCACCCTGCTGCTAAAACATTGGTTGACATTGCCAAATCTCAGGATGCCGAGGTATCCAAAATCAGGATAACTTACTCAAAATTTTACAGTAGTTGTAAACCACCCCTCTCTTTAGGAGAATGGATCTGGAAAGACTTTTTATTCATTCTCCTATTACACATATATTTTTTGAGGGAATATTAAAAGGACTAGATGACTACTGTACATAAGAAGTTTATTGCTACAGTTCAAGGCTACGGCTACAGTTTTCCATTATTAGTGAGGATTTAGTAAATATTTTTGTCATTAAAAAATACCGCTAATGCAGCAAACCTAGTAGACTAAGCAAATTTCCATTTATCTGGTTGGATATTCACTAAAATATTCATTATATATATTCTTGTGGTAGGTCTACGTTTTTGTATTCTACAGTTAATACAGGTAAATGTTTCATATTTTAATTGCTTATTAAAGTTATATTTAAAGAACATTTTAGTAGACTTTTAATAAGTCAGATGATAAACAATTTAAACTCAATACCGCTTTAAGTTTTTTAACTTGAAAGCTTTCTTGTAGGCTAACTCTGTTAAAAATTATTTGAAGTGTCAAAAGAAAACTAGAAATATTAGGCTCGTTAAGTTATGACACCAAAAATAGGCCTACTAGGCACACGATCTCCGAATTCGTTATCTTTGTTGTTAGCTTACATTTTTACATATGAGATCAAGGTATCATGGTCTTTGTTCTTACAATGAATCAATATTAAAAAAATATATACCCTTCCATTTTGAATTACTGATGCTTAAATTTTAAAATCACATAAATCCAATCAGTATGAGCGAAATAGATAAATAAGCAAATTATCTAGCACTTGGCTGCAGCAGTCATCACGTTGCAACAATGTAGTGTAAACTTACCTAGTCTGTTTAACAGCTTTGACCCAACAACTCAATCATCTTAGATTCAATCCAGCTAATCTGCTATCACAGTTATCTAGCTACCAGTAGGATTGTGTAGTGATTTAGCTGGGTTTGAATCAAATATAAATCAGGTTACTTCATAATACTTTCAGTTAGGCCTGTTAAATATTTTCAAAGAATCTTTACGACATTATCATTATATTCATTAACAGTTTCCCAATTACAGGCTTAGAATAAAATTATACTTAATTATTCTGTAATTGTAATTAACTTAACTTAATACACTTATCCACTGTACCAACCGGAAGGCCTAATGATTTGTCAATTCCAAAATTGATCGATTCTCAATTTCTCATTATCAATACCAGAAAAATTAATTCTGGATTCTTTATACTCGAGTATATGAAAAACTCTAACTAGCCAATTTAAGTTTAAACCCTTCTTTTAAACACATTATTTATCTATGGTAAATATTGATATTTTCAAAACATGTCAAAAAAGATTTGATTATAATTAGAGATATGCCAGTCTGAGGTTTTTGATCAAGCTCAGAGTAATAGTTTCATCATATCTCGCGGTTGTGAAGACATGGTCACCGTCTTCCGCAGTCACTGCAAAATCCTGAATATCTTCCTCAGTCATAAAAATATCATCACTGTCTTCCGCAGTCGTGGTAAAATACTGAATATCGCTCAGCGATAACGGAATCATCATCATTGTCTCCCGTGGTAATGTGGACATTATCATCGCATTTAATGATTGCGGCAAAATTATGATCATTTCCCGAAGTCATGTTAACATTGTCCTTGTCCCTCGCGGTAACAGGACAATCCTGAATATCCCCTGCGGTAACGAAAACATCATCATTGTCTTCTGCAATCACGGCAAGATCCTGATCATCTCCTGCGGCCATGTAGGTATCATAATCGTCTCCTGTGATTGTGGCAAAATTTGTGTAATTTCCTGCCATTGTCACAAAATTCTGATCTTCTGCGGTAGTGTGGACATTATCGTCCTCTTCCACAATCCCGGAAAAATTCTGATCATCTCCTGCAGCCATGTTAACATCATCTTCCTAGGTCAAGAAAACATCACCGTCGTCATACATGATCGTGTGGTAAAAGCGGTAACTTGACGATCGCGTGATCTTTGGAGACATGCTGGTTATCAGAATTGGCACTTTTGAAGATTGATTCTTGATACTAATGTCTAATCAAGAATGGACACACCCCTAGTATGTCTCACAACCTAATGTAATCTGTATTGAATATAATATTATATTGTATCTATTTTTGTGTAGGTTACGTCTAGGGATGGGTCAATTCCTCTTTTTTTCGATTCCGATTCCGATTCTTGCAAATCGATTCCCGATTCTCGATTCCTATTCCATTGATTTCTAATAAGTAAAAAAAGTCCTAATGAGTAAAATACCATAGAAGTAGCCTAATTGAATAAAAAAAAATTTCAGATTTTCCCAACTCATTAAAAAAATAAATGATTTATTTATGACTTTTTAAAACTCTATAGTTTAATTCTGATAACTGAGATTTTGCATTTTGCAAGCAAATTTACAGGCTACAATTCAACAGTTCAATCAAGCATACAAAAACTATAATTTATGTAATCAAAAATATAATTGTATATGATCACCGTTTCCTTTTTCCCCGACCATTAATAATGTATCATTCATGACCCAGGCCTACCACCAACTAGCCAATTTTCTGTAAAAATTCTGTATTCTGAAAAATTAAATAAAAAAATTAAATAATGATCTGTCATTTACTGAAGAACAGATTTCCCTGTTGTAAATCAAGAAATAAAGAAATCCCAACCTCCATAGCCTGAATGGACACTGATAGTCATTGCCTACCCATATGAGTTATTTACGTCGACATATATTTTCACATTACCTAGCCATATGAATTTTTGACGTCAACAAATACTGTAAAATTGCCTAGCCATATAGGCTTTTTCAAAAAAACCGTCGGGGGAAAAAAAAACTTATCCGGATCCGGTACCAACATTTTCTTGGATCCGCCCATCACTAAAATGAATAAAGATGTTTTGAATTGAATACTGTATTAGGTGGGAGATGGGACAACCAGTGTTGTACTCCTGGCAGGAGAGTTCCTGAAACAAGTCAAGTCTTATGTGGAAGAAGGTGTTCACCCTAGAGTTGTCATCAAAGCCATCCGCAAAGCCTTGCGGTTGTGTCTTGAGAAAATTGATACCCTAGCTGTCAAGGTAATATAGGTACCTTTTATGGAACTACATATAGTATAAGAATTTAGTTTCAGCATAAATTATTATCAGTCATAGTTATTTTATTATTTTCTAAATACTAAATTTTTTAGCGATAACTGGGTTTTGTGGTACAGAATCTGTGGGTTTAGTTCCCATTTCTAGGCCTTTCTGGCAGTCTGCGTATTACTCTGTCCTAAGAGTATACGGTTCTGTGTATAACTAGGTATATTAGTAGGGTATGTTTTGTTCTGTTTTATTTTTTTGACCTTGATTTATGGTAGGTATAGTTCTTTTCTCTTTTCTAATAAACTAAGATGTATGTTTAAGTTTCAATTGTAAACCCCACGATGGATGTATACAGATCGTCAGCTGTAACTCCAAAATGTAGTAATAATTGCGTCTAGTTGATTAAAGGTGTCCAAATATACACAGCCAAATGACCCGTGCTAACCCCCGCTTATACATCTTGGGATGTTTTACAAAACAAGTTTTTCTATATTTTTTTTACAGCAGAATAATTTAAATAACTGAGACCAATATTTTCATAAAAAGCTATTAAAAATTATGTTACGTTTACCATTCCCTTGAAAAATCTACGTTATAGGTCATGGCGTCCATCTCAGCGTGTATTCAAATGCCTTCAATCTGAGTGACACAATTAATTATTCCTTTATTTTGGGGCTACTGCAATTTGGAGTTAAAGCAATTCATATATTTTTGGACTTTCTGAAATTTGAGCAACAGAAATTCATACAGTGGGTATATAATGATTTATAACTGCACAAAACCCGAAGGACAGTCTCTTTTCAAAGTTTATTTTAATTTTAGAATGTAAATGTTTACTTCTGATAATGACTGTACTTTTGGACGTAGAGCATTATACCTTGGAGCTACAGAAACCCCTGTGTATCCTGTAATAGCATGTTTTTGGAACTGCAGCAACAAAATAAATAGTTTTGAAAAACTGGACCTTGTGCAATGCTCCCATGAATAACTAACTGTTTCATACAATAAATCTTAAATAACCTAATTTTTCTCCTTTGTGTCTCCCCCTCCGTGGTGAAGGATGTGTAGTGGCTAGTTGATCGTAATAGTTGACAGAGACAATGTTGTATCATCATTTGTGTGGCGTCGTCCTTTAATCCAGCTACTAGGAGGTCACGAATTGTGGATATTTATAGGCATGCACTGTGGATGTGATACTCCCTGGTGTGGATTAACGTCCGCACGAGTGAGTGCTAAGACTATCCGCAGTACTATCCTAATAATTAGACCAATTCGTATATACCAAGGAAAAAATGTGGTTCGGATTCCACTATAAACTGTAGGTCCCTTAGTTGCCATTAGCTGTATGGGCTATTAATTAACAGCTGTGTCTAAGGAATGTCCACATTAGTCCCTAACAAGACTACAAGATCGCGCCACTCATCCTACACTCATCTCCATTCACACTTGGCTTAAAATACCTACTATGTCTGGTCGCCATTTCATCGAACAGTATTAACAGTATTTTGATTTTCAGATTGAGAAGAGCAACACCACAGAACACCGTGCTTTGCTACAGAAGTGTGCTGCAACTGCTCTCAGCTCAAAACTGATCCATCAGCAGAAAGATTTCTTTTCAAAAATAGTTGTGGACGCAGTTCTATCCCTGGACGATCTATTACCCCTGAATATGATTGGAATAAAAAAGGTTCAAGGTGGTGCTTTGGAAGTAAGTATTTTAAGCCTGAAGTTGTTTGTGTAATATCATATCACATTATATGAAATGGTGGCCGTGTGGCTGGTTCCGGAGTAGTTGTTAATCTAATCAATTATAACTGATGGTATCTTTGTATGTCCATTTGGGCAACATATTATATTCTCACTCATTATCATTCATATTTATAGTGGTGGTTGGTTGTTCTTATACAGGGTGAGGCAGACCACCCGTACGCATACTTTTACTGGAGTACGTTTTCACCTAGAAACAGGAAATAAAATTGTTCCCTCTTAAATCACCTACGAAGAACCCATTAAAAATATTTAGAACATAATACCAGCACAGGGTATTCCAGAAATGGAGGTCACAGGTTCGAATCTTGAAATTTTGTTATGTCAACCTGTATCTTATTATACATTTTTAGAAAGTTCTTGCTTATAGCAACAATTTGGTGAAAACAGACTTCAATTATCTTAATTAGTTTTAAAATGGCGGGCCATTTTTGTAAATTTTTTCCGTATTTAAGTAATACCCTAATTTTTCAAAACCGCTAAACATTTTTCCGTATTTAAGTAATACCCTGTATTTTCAGAATCGCTAAACATTTTTCCGTTCTATTTGAAAATTAGCAATCCTGGTAAACACAGATTTAAACAATGATGTGTCACATGTAATAATTATTATCAAACATCATTTTATGGAAATTTTTTTAAATGTAGGTATCCCTCCCTGTATCGTGGCAGAGCTTCAATTTGTATACAGAAATACTTATCTCTACTAATCTTTCCTATAGTCAATGACAAAATCCTAGACTACATAAAATAACCTCATATCATAGTTCTATTGAATATTTTTATATCTATCCAGCTGTTAGTTTAACCCTTAAGTGCGTGTGCATGTTTTTTTTACGCTACAGCATCCCCAAATAAAAATAGCTTTGATTGATTTAAAACTAATAGTTTGAACGCTTTATTTTTCTATATATATAAAATCCCTCCCGTGCGGTACCGGGTTAGAATAGGACCGCAGCCTCCCTCGGCTTGTCGTAAAAGGCGACTAACAGGGGGTGGGAGATCCTTCTCTTTATGCTCCCATCTCTGAGGCCAAGTTTGCTTCTTACCTTTGGCTTGTACCTCGAAATCTTTCATCTTTCCTTTTTACACTTCTTTTTTTCAACCCCGGTTTGAATGTTTTCCTTTCTTATTTTTCGACCGGCGTGCACTATTGAGCCTTGGGAGTGCCCTTTCTGTGCAAAAGGGCTGTTTTGTGCCTCGCACTGCCGATGGGACCTCTCTGGTGTGTCGTCAGGAACCAGCCCCTTCGGGCCCTAGTCAGGGAGTGCGGCATGGGTGCAGAGGTCGGGCTCTGCACTGCCACGGACGACCCCCGGTACGTCAGGATTCTCGGTACTAGGCAAACGGAGACCGGGCCCCAGGGAACTGGGGTAGGGGCTACGTCCCCGAGGGTATACCCGTTCCTGGTTATTCCGGGCCGTCCCTTGCCGCACGATGCGCTGGCAAACATTTTTATGGCTATTTCAACCCCAGGTAGCATGGAGGGCTTGCTTGGCAAGCAGTCAGAGGAGAATGCGTATAAGAGGGGAGGGTGTGTTTCAAGGTCACCCCCTCTGACGGTAGAAAATATATCGTTGGCACCTTCGCTGGTAAAGGGAGCGACTGTCTCCCCTCCACCGGTGCCAGCTTTCAAGTCTGGTGAAGGGCTGTTGGAGGAACACCTTACAACAACGTTGCAGTCGGAGAGCTCAGGGATGGTGCTTCTGCGTCAGAAATACCTTGACGCAGAGAGTAGCATCGAAACCCGGCTTCGAGACATGGAGGAGACCATTAAAGCTATGCTGGACACCTTTCGGACCCAGAAAGTGTTAACCAAGTGGTCAAAAATGGCATGGCCAAGCTAGAAGATGACCTTGGATTCGTTTTTGCCTGCCGGTTGGTAAGCAAGGCGGCCATGGAGAAGATTGCGGAGAAGGTAGTGTCTATGCCCGACGACAGGGCGCTGCCTTCTAAGAAACGCAGAAGGCCATCCACTACGGAAAGCCCTCCAAAAAAGGAAGAGGCTGTTCAGACCACAAGGGCTAAGGTTAAGGCTAAGGCGACCCAGACAGACCTTTTGTCTGCCGGGCCCAGGTCTTCCCCAGATGTAGCTGCTTTCCCAACAAAGCGTCTGCAACCTCAGCAACCCGTGACCCCTCTTAGGGGAAGCTCCCGTAAGGGATCAGTCGTTGAGACACCATCTGGGGCTGCATGGGAAAAGCGTCTTACCCGAAAGGAGAAGAGACAGCAGAGGCGGGCGGAGGTCACCTCCAAGAAAAATGTGGCGGTAAAGGCACAAACGACAAACGTTGCCCAAATTGGGCCCGGTTTGGCCCCCGCTCTTAAAAGGTCGCGGCCAAAAAAGCCCAGGACGGAGGCAATCTTGGTTAAGCCCTCAGGGGGGAGATCATTCGCTGAAGTCTTGGGTATAATAAAGGCTAAAGCTAAGCCGGAGCAGACCGATACGGTTGTGCGGTCGATTAAGCAAACCCGGGGCGGGGACGTCCTCCTTGAACTGGGTAAGTCAAAGGACAAATCCGCTTTTGCTGCTGAACTAAAGGCAGCCGTGGAAGGCCAGGGCACCGTCCGTGCACTCGAGCCTAAAACGTCAGTTGAGGTTCGGGACATAGATGGTGTGTCGACAGAGAGTGAGGTGGTTGAGGCCCTAAAGGAAGCAGTCCCCGAGCTTGCCAGAACATCGGCTGTTCTTAGGGTGTGGCTCACAAAACCAAATAGAAACCAGCAGCGGATGGCGGTCGCCGAAATGGCAGACGCACACGCTAGTAAGGTGTTGGCACTCCAGCATTTGAGGGTCGGTTGGGTCAACTGCAGGCTCAGACGGAGGGTGGAAGTAACCAGGTGTTTTAGGTGCCTCGGTTTCGGTCATTCCTCCCGAAATTGCAAGGGGCCTGACCGAGGCAAGCACTGCCTCCGGTGCGGAGGGGTGGGTCACGCTCAAGTAGTAGGGACTGCCAAGTCGAATCTTGCTTTCTTTGTAAGGAAAATGGGCTCGCGGACAAAAACACCAAACATATAGCTGGGTCTGGGCAGTGCAGCGCTTTTAAAACTGCGCTCCAGCAAGCAAAAGCCCACCCACGAAAATAAGAATACTCCAATGTAATCTTGGGCGATCCAGGACAGCTGACGCGCTTCTCAGTCAGCTTGCCCTCGAACACGGTGTCGACGCGCTCTTGGTCAGCGAGCAGTACCAGTACCGGAATAGGGTCCCACCCTTTTGGTTCCCCGATAGTCTTGGTACTGCTGCTTTCTGGGTGCGTAATACAGCTCAAGTGCAAGTGCGGGGTCATGGAAAGGGCCGTGGATTTGTTTGGGTTCGGTGCAAGGACGTCACCTATTACAGTGTCTACCTCACCCCTAACGAGGCTATCCATGACTTCCGCGAGGAGATAGACCGCTTGGAAGAGAGGGTGCAGGACACCACAGGGCATGTAGTCGTGGCTGGTGATTTCAATGCTAGGGCCGTCGAGTGGGGACTGACCCTCACTAATTCCCGGGGGAAGTACATCCTGGACTTTGCTGCCAGGGCCGGACTCGTTGTAATCAACGAGGGCAACACGCCAACGTTCCGGCGACCCGGGATGAGGGGAACGATCCCAGACATAACCCTCGCATCTGAGTCTCTTCTGCCAAGGATCACAGCCTGGAGAGTCTTGGAGGATTATACGGCCAGCGACCATCAATACATTATTTCCAATGTCTTAGATCGCCTCCCGAGACAAGTTGCTGCATCTCGGGAAGTGCCCGTTCGGTGGAACACCAAAAAACTGGACGTGGCTAAATTCACCGAGGCCATCCTGCGGGGAGTGCCAGCGGTGCCTGCCGCACCTGGCATGGCTCATGCAGAGGCTATAGTTACATCGATGATGGGGCTGATTGCCTCGGCTTGTGATGAGTCAATGCACCGCAAGAGACTCCGTTGCGATAGGAGACCCGTATACTGGTGGACTGCAGAGATCGCGGATTTGCGCCGAGCTGCTTTGAGAGCTAGACGGCTCGCTACCAGGGCCAGGGCACCCTTGGATAGACGCCGTAAGCTGGAGACAGGGTGTCTAGTAGTCGGGAAAATCGGGAAAGTCGGGAATTAGTATTGAATTTCAAAATGGTCTTGAAAAGTCGGGATTTAGTCTTAAATTTGATTTCAAAGTCGGGAATTTTTATGATTTTTCCGCGATCGTCGTCTTCCGTTTACGTAACCGCGAAAGCCAATGATGATTGTCCTCACGGCCTCGGGAAATGTTCATGATTTTGCCGTGATCGCGGACATCGACGATAACGTTTCCGTGACCGCGGGAGATGACGGTGATGTCTAAACAGCCGCGGGAAATGTTCATGATTTTGCCGCGATCCCGGACAACGACGATGACGTTTCCGTGACCGCGGGAGACGACGATGATGTCTACACGGCCGCGGGAAATGTTCATGATTTTGCCGCGATCGAGGACGCCGGCGATGACGTTTCCGTGACCGCGGGAGATGACGATGACGTTTCCGTGATCGCGGGAGATGACGATGACGTTTCCGTGACCGCGGGAGATGACGATGAAGTTTCCGTGACCGCGGGAGATGACGATGAAGTTTCCGTGACCGTGGGAGACGACGATGATGTATACACGGCCGCGGGAAATGTTCATGATTTTGCCGTGTTCGCGGACGATGACGATCACGTTTCTGTAACCGCTGCAGTCAATGATGATGTCTAAACGTACGGTACACAGAAGATTTCAAGATTAAAAAAACCAAATTTGCTAGTTAGAATTTTTTATTGCTGCATTATTTCTTTACTTGAAAACACCACATTATCATAATACTACTTTATGACAAAGACAAAGTAGTAGACAAAGGTGTAGTATTATTTAGAAAATTTGGTTAGAAAAAGCTATAAAAATAGGTATCGGTATCAAGAATCGAGAATCGATACATTTTGGTATCAACACTAAATGTGGAAAAAACTAGTCTTGAAAAATTTGGAATTAGTCTTGAAAAGTCTGGAATTAGTCTTGAATTTTATAATGGAAATAAACTAGACACCCTGTGGAGAGCTACAAGGTGGCGAGGAAGTCTCTCCGCCAGGCCATCAACCGGAGCAAACACAATTGCTTAAAAGGACTAAGGGATGATGTCGATTCCGACCCGTGGGGCCTGGGTTACAAACTAGTAACCCAAAAACTCACCACTCGCTCTCCACCTTCCGTCATGGAGGGGGCCGCTATGGAGAGGGTCGTCAAATCCCTTTTTCCAGAACATATTCTGCGCCCACTGCGTGAGTTTGAGATGATGGACGATGTCCCACTCTTCACTCATGAGGAGCTGGAGACTTCCGTTTTATCCCTAAAAAACAACAAGGCTCCTGGACCTGATGGGGTACCTGGCGAGGCTCTTAAGAAGGTTTTTTCAATCAATCCCCTGATTCTTCTGAGCATGTACAACGCCTGCCTGGCAGAGGGGGTATTTCCGTTGTGCTGGAAAAAAGCTAGGCTCGTGCTCGTAGGGAAGGGGAAAGGAGACCCAGAATTGCCGTCCTCTTACAGACCCCTTTGCATGTTGGATACGGCTGGGAAAGTCCTAGAGAAGTTGATCCGTTCCCGACTGAATTCAGCCGTGGTTGCTGCAGGGGACCTGAGCCCTCGCCAATACGGCTTCAGGAAGGGGTGATCAACGGTTGACGCTATTGAGGAGGTGAAGCAAGCCGTGATGAGAGCTGAGGATTTTAATCACTACTCTCGTAGGGTTGTGCTGCTCGTTACACTCGATGTGCGAAACGCATTTAATTCTGCAAGATGGTGCGATATGCTGGACGCTCTGGAGAACAACTTCCACGTCCCGGCATACCTCATGCGCATTATAGAGGATTACCTCTGGTTCCGCCTCCTCATGTATGATACTACAGAAGGCCCGCGGACGATGAGTGTCACTTCTGGTGCTGCCCAAGGTTCCATACTCGGCCCGGACCTCTGGAACGTTGCCTACGACAGCCTCCTTAGGTCTGAAATGCCTGAAGAAACCGTTTTAGTTGGGTACGCAGATGACATTGCAGCTTTAATAGCTGCTCGTAAGAGCTGGCCCAGCTAAAATTAAACCGAGTCATGCGAACTATAAACTCATGGATGGCAGATCACGGTCTCTCACTCGCGCTGAACAAAACCGAGATCGTGATTCTGACCAAAAAGCGGATTGACACCATTGTGCTGTTGAGGGTGGGGGACGTCGAAGTCCATTCCGTTCGTGCCGCCAAGTATCTTGGTGTCATGGTGGACTCTAAGCTAAGCTGGCGGGACCAGATATTCCGAACGGCGGACAAGGCCGCTAAGGTGATCTCTTCTCTTAGCCGGTTAATGGCCAATGTCGGAGGTCCTCGTTCCAGTCGCAGAAGGCTGATGATGTCTACAGTTCAGTCTGTGCTCCTGTATGGTGCGGAGGTGTGGGCAGACGCGCTCAATAAGGAGGTGTATAGGATGCGGCTTGCCAGAGTGCAGCGTCAGGCAGCACTCAGGGTAGCATCCGCCTACCGAACAGTGTCTGAACCTGCCATCTTGGTGGTTGCTGGAGTAATCCCCGTCAAACTTTTGGCGGCAGAGAGGAAAGTGATTTATCAGCGGCGTGGAGAGGACCACGCAAAAATGGAGGAGCGCAACCGCACCTACCAGCTCTGGCAGGAGAGCTGGGAACAGGAGTCGCGGGGACGCTGGACCAGGAGACTGATTCAGCAAGTCCAACCATGGGTTGACCGACGGTATGGTGAGGTGGACTATTACCTGACCCAGTTTCTGACAGGTCACGGGTTTTTTCGGTCGTACCTGTTCAGGATGGGCAAAGCCGTGTCACCCGATTGCATCTACTGCCCAGGCACTCCCGACGACGCGGAGCACACCTTCTTCCGCTGCCAGCGTTGGGAAGGTTCCCGCCTGGAGGCTGAACAACATGTAGGGCAGTTGTTGGTGGACACGGTCATTCCGATGATGACGGAGGGTGAGGACAATTGGACCTGTATTTCACATTTCGTCCAGGATATTCTCCGCACAAAGAAGCTAGAGCTTGACCGAGATGCAGTCTAGGTCATAAAGATATTGAATGCCAGAAACGGCGTGAGCCCTGAGGGCTTAGGTCACACGTTGACCTGACCTGAAGTAATGTGACAAACAATCCCAGGTCTGTGTCCAACAGAGTAGAGGGGGTTTTTTAGTGAGTAGTCTGACAAGCTCAGGAGTCTCACACTACAGGCTGGCTACCTGTGTGCGTGAAAGCATTTTTACCTCCTCTCCCTTAAAAAAAAAAATATATATATATATAAAATCCAAAGTATGTATGTTTGTTTGTTTGTTTGTCCTTCATGGACAAACAAACTTATGGACAAACAGACTGTTTAAATACAAAAATAATGATAATAGGCAAGAATAATTACAATCTTTTATTATAAAACATCAGCATAACATTTTTTTATTAATCACGCCTAACTTATTAAAAATGCCTACGATTAGGAAACAAAGTGATATCAGTTAGGATAGAGTTCAACTTATCCTAAAATAAAATAAATCATAAAATAAAAGCAATATTAATTTTTATAAAATAGTTACTTGTTTTGACTTTTTATAGTAATTAAACATTCCTCACACTGCTTACACTTAACAAAACTTCTCAAATGTTATTAAAGTAATATTATTAAAATAATTAAAGTAATATTTACATTTAAAGAATTAATTAAATAAGAACGCCTTCGCAAAGGAAACGCAACTACAACACGCTCCTGTATTGCGGGTATTGCATTGACTTCCAGCAGGCGTTTTTAATTTTTGTTTTATTCTCGTCTCGATAAAAATCTCGGCCAAAAAGAAATCTCGTCTCGTGTAACGAGATTTAAAATTTCCCGAAATTTCGAGACTTGACCATCCCTACTTAAAATACTTTACACTTTCATTCCTGTCTCTGAATTTTCTCACTCTTCTCCGATCCTTTTTCTTCCTATGGCCCTCTCTCTATCGGTACATTTGGTTGTTCTCAAATTTCACTTGTAGTGTCTCAATAGCTCCTTCTGATCTTTCGTCGTCCACTACAGTCTAACCTTGATATAACGAACCTCGATATAACGAATTCCTTGATATAACGAATTTTTTTAAATCCCCCAGAACCCTCCATAAGACACAATGTATATTTTACCTCTACATAACGAACAAACCATAATAATGACCTTGATTTAACAAATTTTTTGTGATTTCGGCTAAAATAAGACACCTCAATATAACAAATTTATCATTGTCAGAACCTCTATATTGCGAATTTAACCACTGCATAACGAATTGTCTACGTCTTTCCCTCGATATAACAAATCCCCCACCCAATTATTGTTTTGGGAAAATCTGTTTCTTTATCAAATGAAATGGAAAGGTCACGTCATCGCTTGCGCTAACATTTGTCTGCTCCGTTTTACATCTTTTGTCTGCTGTCGCTGCGCGCGCTATGTTGCAACTTGCAACTGAGAACTGATTTCAATTTCATTCACTGAGGGAGGACTGATGACGATGTAATGTTTTTAGTAAGCTGTGATTGGGCGATATGGGATAACTATGGTGAATTGTACAATTTTTGGATAAAGAGAAACCTAAGAAAGAACAAAACCAAAGAGAAAGAATAGCAACATCGTTATTTTAACATTCCTTTTACGAGTGTTTTTATTATCCTTAAGTTGACTATGATTATACACTTTTATAATGACTTATCTAATAATTTATTGTTTTCAATACGATTTGTTTCAACTAGCAACACCAATGCTATAGTTAATGATTATTATTGACATTCCTCTGTTGTGACAAATAAGTACTGTACTGTAAGTAGCCTACCGGCCTATCCCGAGCAGTAGCTTACAAAGCTTTCTACTGTTTTGTTTTGTTCTTTACATGGTTTATGACTACGCAATACAGTGTTTGGCTAGGTTTTAGGAGGGTTAGAACAAGCTGTGATTTTAAACTTACAGTTTTTAACCTGTACCAAGGTCAATGCCATTGTCATGATTGCGCAATATTCAAGATCCCTCCCCTTTATTATGCCGGATAATTTAGGTTCTACTGTACAATGTAAACACTGTACTGTAAAGTATTGTAGCCTATGCTACTTTAATTGTACTGTATTTTAATGAGGTCAATGGTCAAATCCCGACCTATATTGATCGACACTGGTTCTGAACCTCGACAGTCGACTTAGCGAAATTCCTGCAAACCTAACCTCTATATAACGAACCTCGTTTTAACGAAATCCTTGATATAACGAATATTCGGTTCGGTCCCTTCAGATTCGTTATACTGAGGTTGGACTGTATAATTGCCTTGACTTCTCGACGCATCGCAGTGTCGGGGCTCGTCGCATCCGCAGAATTCCCAGTCTCTCTTTTGATTTTGTTATTTCAGGCTGTAGGTCTTCCGGGATCGGCTCTTTGTCCATTGTTTCCTTCTCGTCCGGTTGTTCGGGGCCTAAGTCGGTGAGGGGGGGAAGACCAAGTAATGTGGTCGTATCAATGGAGAGAATCTCCCACTCTGTTACAAATTCAAGGGGGACTTCCTCAGATATCTGCACTTCCTCGTTATCTACTTTGACTTCAGGTTTTACCATTGATGGTTCATCTTCTTCTGCTCCAGGGGTAGGCGGCGCCTTTTGATCCTGTTGTTCCCGTGAGGTCCCACTCGATCGCGATGAACTGTCGGAAGAGCTACTCGCTGTACTTGATGACGATGAGCTGGTTGAAGTGTCTGTCTCATAACTAAATGTATATCTAAAATAATAAATGAATTCTTATAAAAATAATTTTAAAAATGATCCAAAATGAATAAACTATTTTTTTCTTATCTTTACTTGTAGGATTCCAAAATTGTGGATGGTGTAGCATTTAAGAAAACATTTTCCTATGCTGGATTTGAAATGCAACCAAAGAAGTACCAGAACCCAAAAATAGCACTGCTCAACATAGAGTTGGAGTTGAAGGCAGAAAGGGACAACGCCGAAGTGAGAGTGGATAATGTCAAGGTAGGTTAACCTGTTAACACATTTACTCTTTGTATTATTATATTCAGCATGAGTAAGAAACAAGTTCACCATACAGTGCTTAGTTGTGGGGACTAAAATGAAGTATATGAATAATAACTAGAGATGGACAAGTTCCAAAATTTTGGGAAAAATAAATTCACAATCATTGGAAAGGACTTACAATTAATTCAACCGGCAGCGAATGACAATGATGACGTCTCTGCAATTGCGGGAGATGACGCTGATATGGTGGGCGACGATGATGATGGGAGATAATCACAAGGTTGCCATGACCATAAGAGATGTTCTCGATGGCCTCGCCAATACGGACCTGGAGAGTCAACTCATGACCAACCCTGATCCAAAGTTTGAGAAGGAAATAAAAATCCTATCCTGTCCCGTCTGGAACTAAAAATAAAATACCTAATATCAACACAAATGTTTGCATATAGCTAGGAAATTCAATTATAATTTTATTTTAGTTGGTCTTTCTATTTAGTCAATGTTAAATTTTATATGGTTTTACCTAACTTTTTAGATTTTCAATAGCAATACCTAATATTTTTACTTCTCAGCTTAAGCTATAGTTGGCCAATATGCTAACTTGCATTCTGTAATTGGTATCTTAAATGGTCATTCAGTAATACTATTGGTTGTGTGTACTGTTAGAAAATACAACAATTTAATTGTGTAATTGTGAAACCAACAAATTGGACATAATTTGTATATTATGTAACCAAAAGATAGCATCACATGTTTTTGTAAAGATCTAGGAACCATCACCCTCCAACCTTTATGATACAACCATCATGTAGGCATAGCTCACCGTCATGATAACCGTAGTGCTCCAGCGATTTTCCAGTTTCCAAAGCTATTAGCAAGTGTTACATCCTTTTTCGTTTCTTGAGCAATTAGGTTATGGTTTAGGTTGATCGTTGCAATTTAGTTCATAGGTACTAGTGTACATGTTGCTCGAATTCGAGCAATTGCAAAGTGTTACAGGATTTTTTTTCAAAACGAATAACAGTCTATTTACAATGAGTTTAAAATAGTCAACTCAAAGATTACCGTGGTGTAGGCTAACTCAGACCGTGTTTATCTTCCTTATTGATAAACCTAAAGCATTCCAGCCGGTTTTCTCCTTCTCAAAATGCCTCACTGTACAGGCAACACAGGTCATTGAAAGAGGGCCAATTGAGAACGAAAAGTCGTTTTGGGGTAGTGTTAGGGTGCATTTGTAACCAATAGTTGACATTGTCCAGGGTCAGGTGCTGACTGTGATGAGTTAAACCTATTACGCGCCACTGTAGCTGCGGTCGTTATCACGATTACGCCTCCTGTCTATATGTTTCGTTGTCGTTGCACCGGAGGCATTTAAAAGAAAAAAAAAAAACAAATTATAGCTACACAAAACAACGATAAATGCACAAATTTCAGTTACAATCATGCTAACACGATCCGTCATAGCGACACAAACAACGATAAATACAAAAATTTAAGATACAACCTACTAACACGATCCGTCTTGGGGGTTATGTTTAAACAAACTCAAATAGTAAATAAACGTACTCAATGTGTTACATTGAATTGAAGAATAAATAACAGCAGTTAAATTATACAGCTGATCAAAATGTAAACAATTATGTTCTTCATAAGGATAACATGGGAACTTTCAAAGCCACTGGGGCAGAGCCCAAGGGACTTTTTCAAAAATGTAAGGCCAGTTTGCAAATCTACGCAACACGCTCTTTCCAATGAGACGTCATTGGATAAAATCGGTTAAGAAATGGCGGAGGAGTTCAACCGACAAAGTTTCATGTAGCGTATTAATTATATAGATAGAAAACATCAGTCTGGTCCATGCTAGCATTTGAATATTTTTCAATAGGGAGTCTTGAAAGGAAGTCCGAATTTCCATGATAATTTGTTCGTCTAAATTCTATTTTGTAGTCAAAACCTGATAAGAAGTGTGGAATAAAGATGATTTGATTTGAAGGTTTGGATGTCAGCACTGGCTATCCATTTGTGGGTGTAAGCATTGAGTATACACGTATTGGAGTGCCCACTCAATGGGGAGCATAGCATTACCTGTGCAGCGCTAGAAAGAGTTCGGTGGTCCGAACTACGCGACCTTGGGTAAGGCAGTACAACCAGATGCTAGTGCGCTCTACCGGTAACCATGCAAGACGCAACAATGACGCTACTCGTACCGCTGCTGCGGACTTGGTGTCGGGTGCGCTGTCGTACTTGCTTTAAGCATACTTATAAGCATTGAAGCGTACTCCTTGCGATACCAATATGGTTTAAAAACTGACTTTTAAATATGATGGTAAACATTTATTCTAAACTACTCGTATAGAGTAATTTATTTTATAATGCGTACAATTTTTATGAATATGTATGTACTGTACCTATGATGTAAGATTGTACATTACTGTATTTACGACCCTGAAAAAGTCTGTAAGCATGCCATTGCTGTACAGATAAATATCCATAATAAACCTTTTTGAGGTTAAAATTTCCCTTTGAGTTAGCGAATAGGGATGGTTATAATTTTATTTGATTATTAATGTTAGGTAAATAATATATTTCCCTCTTATATATATACAGTCTTGGTCTTCGGGTTTCGACCGTGTCCTTAGGTTATGTACACTATGTACAGAAACTACCGACATTTCGGCCACACAACAGTCAGCCATCTTCAGGGCGAGCGAGCACTATCACCGTAGTCACAGAACTCAACTGGCACGGGAGGGCTGTTGATATTCAAAATGGATAATCAACAGTACCCGCTCGCCAGAAAAAGCCAAGAACATTCTAGAAGCGGCCTGAGTCCAGTAAAGCTAGAACGGAGTGGAAAGTTCCAGAACACCCCCACCACCATCAAGAGGGTATATAACCTACGAGGCCGGCCCACCCGTGCCAATTGAGTTCTGTGACTACGGCGATAGTGCTCGCTCTCCCTGAAGATGGCTGACTGTCATGTGGCCGAAACGTCGGTAGTTTCTGTACATAGTGTACATAACCTAAGGATGCGGTTGAACCCCGAAGACCAAGAATAAGTGACGACTGTGGAAGCCTATCCATGAAGATATTTCCCTCTTGTTTCAAAGTTCAAATAAAGCTTTCATGTGACATTTCAAATTTGAATATCATGGCTTTTGTCTGCTTAAAGAAACAAATTCAAATAGTTACAATACGGTATCTTAATTTACTCTTTTATATATTAGCATCAACGACAATTTATTAATTTAATGAAAATAGTTATTGTCAATGTCATTTAAAAATGAATCAACAAACGTCGGCATAGTAAAAAATATGGTTTATGGTTGTGAGAAAATAATGGTACAAAACTATTCGTGTTTAATTGAACAAACTTTTGTTGGATTAATTTTGTATGCAGCTATTTTCTTTTGTATACTTTTTTACCAAACCAGGACAGCATACTTTTTACACTTATGTTTTAAATACCATGAGCTGGTTGACAATATAATGAACATGTCACATGTTAATTGAATTGATTATTTTAGTTTATGTATTTTTTATATTTTTTAGGAATACCAGAAAGTTGTAGATGCTGAGTGGCAAATTTTGTATGAAAAATTAGACAAGATCGTGAAGTCTGGTGCACAAGTTGTACTTTCAAAACTTCCAATTGGCGATGTTGCAACCCAGTATTTTGCTGACAGGTAACAACACAATTTATCTTGGGTTATACTGTTTTGGGTTTCAAGTGGTTTTTAGTCAAAGTATTTTAAATGTATATATAGGTACGCAACACTTTAAACCCTAAGCCTAAATATAGCTTGAAACATAAGTTTGTTGAATCTCACCTGCTAGCTCTAGTGAGCTTATAGGGGCACTTGTCGTGTTTGGCTGACGGTGGCATGGTAGCTTAGCTAAGGCGTTGCACTGACGAGTGAAAGTAGCTTTGAGATCTTTCTAAATGCACAAGTGATGGGCCCATTCCGATTCTCGATTCCAAAATACTCTCGATTCCGGTGGAGTCAAATCGAACGTTCAATTTGATTCTCCATGGTTTTGGGAGTGATTGCACTTTCTTTGATTCTTTCATAAAATTGGTTAAAATAAGCCATAAATGCCATAAAAAACAACTACAACAAAAACATAAACATAAACAAAAGAAATCCGCTACCCCAGTAGCAGAGCGTGGCTACCTGCTTTAACTTTACAACTATTTACTTTAACTTTTCAAACTTGTTTGTAATTTCCAACGATCAACTGAGAATGAATTCAAAACTAAAACTTCACTTGAAAACTGCCTTACTAAACTTGAAGACATATATTACGAATACAAGTACACTCTTGGAGACTACATACTTCACAGAGTTACAACTTGAAACTAGATGTACAATACTGTAAAAATAAATGTGTCATTGTATTTTTGATATTGGCCTATATATGAATGAAAAAATCAGATGCATATCAATGCTCAAATTTTGCATAAGTTTCTTTCCAAATATACTCAAGTAACAATGAAAGTCATCATGATGTACTTAAGTACCTCTAAGGCCCAGTCTACACGAGCGTGAAACTTGCGACAGGATTCCCCCGTCGGGGCCACGCGCTTGACAGGGACCATTGCATTAAATTGGCGTGTCTACACGAGTGGGATTCATGACGCGGGTGGATGTGTCAATAGGCGAGAGTGCTGAGTTGACTTTGATATCGGCATCAATCCCTGTCGCAGATTTATAAGTTTGGTTCTAAATTAAGTAAATATATTAATGTGGAAGCGTGAAAGAAGTTTTATTTTTGACAATTAAAGTATTTAAGTTTCAGTTAACATTATCTTTTTGCTATTAGTTCAACTAGTACAACTCACATTATTTTATTTTCATAATCACAACATATGGTATTAATTACATATGTTAAAAACAGTCTTGTAGGAAAAAATATGGCTTTGCCACACTCCGGCCACTTGAGAAATTTCTTCAACACACCTGGTTAGTCTCATCACGGTTAATTTCAAGAGGATAAGAGTAATTTTAAAGGTCAAATTATTTTCTTTTTGTTGCTTAAAGTGACTGTTACGCTTCTGATATTTCCATCTTTGCTTGAGTGTAGTTTATTAATTCGACCAAGTCTCCAACATCCTCTGGGTAAATTATAATATAAGGAATAAGGACAATATCTCCAATACTGGGGAATTGTGAAGACCGGCAACGTTTCTGCTTGATTTCAGATTGAGTCCTTTCTCTCAAACTAGTTAAGTAGTCTTTCTTCCAAAGAAACCAAAATGTGTTTATGAGGTTCTGTCCTTTTTTCCAAGTTTGAAGTAAATGTTCAGTGTTGGATAGCTTATGGTCTGGATTAGTTGTCTTGTGTCCGAGGTGATTTCCACTCATCTCAATTCCATTTTTCCTGTGAAAATTCAGGAAATTACCTGGAGTTAAGATACAATCTGATAGGGATGGGCGAGTAGTGTTTTTTTGAGTCGAGTCGAGTAATTAGCCCTAATACTCGAGTATCGTATCGAGTCGAGTCGAGTAGTTCACGAGAAAATCAACAATATTATTTTACATATATTCCATCTTCATTTTTACGAACAAAGCATTTCTCAATTCACCAAAAATAGACCTGGTTAAAAACTTTTATACCATATAAAAAACACAATATGTATGTGTATCAAACTTATATTTTGGTGTTAAAGGTTTATTATTAATTGCCAAAAAAAATACAAAAATATGGAACTAAGTGTTTATTTTAAAATAGGCCTACTGTAAATGTTTGAATTTGACTAAAGCATGAGATCTAATAAAGTTTCCTCTAATTTATAAATAGGCTTATAAGTATTTATCTAAGTCATTTCTCAGTTTTTGTATTTATTTGAAATTCCATGAAATTGTCTTAGTTAACTCATTAGTTTGTAATTTTTTTTTATTAGTACCTAGGTCTACAAATACTCTTTGTAAGGTAAGTTTTTCCCCCCAAGTGAGTAAAAACTAACTTCCTATATAATGACATTTCCTCACTAATTATGTATCTTCAAATTTTTTTTAACTATGAAAAAGTCACCAAGTCTAGCTGAAAACATAATCATAAATGAGGATATTTTTGAAATACAGAATAACTAATCAAACAAAATTTTTAACACTGTTATTTCTCAACTTTTTTTCCTTGAAAATGTCAACAGTTTTCCACTTATTTTTAATAAAGATTATCACTTATAATTGTTTTAAAGAAGTCCAGATGTGTGAACTTGAAGAGCAGACAAGAGACATACGTCACTGCCACAAAAACTCTTCTCTACTGTGAATGAATAACTGAACTGAACTGATTCTGAACTGTTTATTGTGTGAAGCCCCATCCACCGTCTAACGGGACATGGGGGAGGAAAAGAGAAAGTTTGGCAGAATGTGCCCTTGTTCTAAAGCCTGGTTCACATGCCCTCCCTCACCCTCGGCCTCAGTCGCTTGCAGATTTCCATTACACAAGAGTGTTAATTATTTTGAAATACTGTAAATGTTTGAATTTGACTATGATGAGATCTAATAAAGTTTCCTCTAATTTATAAATAGGCTTAACTTTTTAAGTATTATTCTAAGTCATTTGTCAGTTTTTGTATTTCTTTTTAAAAGCAATTGCAGTTATACATTAAAAAAATTACAAACATCTTGGCCTACAAATACATTTTGTAAGGAGAGTCTTTTCTCTAGTGAGTAAAAACGATCGTGGTCAAGGAATGAACTGTGCTAAAACAGCACATTGTCAATGTTTACAAAAGTATTTTGACTGAAACCCTGGTATTTTTTAAAGACATTGCATAATAGCCTATGTCGACGTCTGTGGAGAAAAGTATGGCAATAGATAGGTTTTACTTTTAGCCTACAATAAAGATTATGTTTTGGGACTAAAATCTCCAAAAGACCAAAAGAGTGGTTTTAACAAACATTTCATAGTTTTATTTAGCAACAAAAGTGTTTGACTATGTTCCCGATTATACCAAGAACAAGGTTCGGCAGAGTGGGTTCACTGTGAACCGGCCTGCCTGGCCCTTATGCACGACGTCACTATAACCTCCGTGTAGGGGTGTCAACAATGGATCGGAACAATCGAAGTTTTGAACCTGTCTGTAACCTAGTTTTTTATACTTAAATACTCATTATTTATAAACAAACACGTCTAAAACATATTTCAATGTTAGAACAAAACAGTATACCGGTATTTATTATGATAGAAAAATGTAAACATAAGCATTCAACAGATGTTTTAGATAATTGTTCATAAATTATAAGCCAGGTATAATTGAAATATATTACAGTCTTCCCCTCTAAAAAGAGAACAACAGGTCGAAGTCTTGGTGTGGAAACTCATAACTGATACTTGTGTGGTGTAGGCAATTGGCTTTAGTTGTTTTTTTTTCTTTTTTTTCTGGAGCAGGTGTATAGCTTAATAGCTTACTGGAGTCGTTGAATAGTAGAAGGTTTTGTCTGGAACTGGAGTAGAGTATTCAAAATTAACAGGAGCGGGAGTTAAAAACTGAACAGGAGGGAAATCAACTAGGGGTCGTAGAATTGACATGGTCGATTTGTAACCGTTGGATACTGCTGTTGGAGCTGGAATGGAATACTTGTAGCTCACTGTCGGGGCGGAAGGAGTTAAGTACACACTGGGCGGAGGTAAGTATTCATAGCTAACTGCAGGCACTGTTTTTGAATACTTGAGAGTCTTCAGTGGAGTTGGAGTAGAATTTTCAAAGTAGGGTGTAGTCATGTACTGGACTGGTTTCAGCGGTGTTTTGAAAATTTTCGGCACTACAGGTTTCACAGCTGGGTAAGAGTACTCGTAGAAGACAGCTGAGGCGGGTGGTGTGTAAGTTACTGGTCTCAATGGCATTTCGTAGGTTATTAGTTGAACTGGAACTGCAGAGTAGCCGTATTTCACAGGTTTTACAGAGGGTGGTGGAGGTGGCAAAGAGCAAGTTACAGCTTTCAATGGTGGAGGAGCTAGGGTGGAAGTGGATAGTTGAGAATCTAAGGGAATTTTCAGTTGTTGCAACCAATCTCGACCTAGTAATGGATTAATAATGTTATCCACAACAAACAAGTTCAGGTTTGTAGATTTGTTGTTGTACCATACCTCAACTTTGGCGACACCCAGAGGTTTAAAGATTTCACCGGTAACTGTTTTAAGTGTAGTCGATGTTGGCTGAAGAGTTCTGTTGGGGCAAACTTTTTGAAGGTCTTTGTTATTGATTATAGTTACTGGACTCCCAGTGTCGATTTCAAAGGTAAGCTTACCATTTTCAATGTTCAGTGTTGTCGTGAATTTTTCCGTTGGTGAAGTAGTGGGCGCAATACGGACAGGAACAATTCTTCCAATAGAAAACTCATCATGTTCTATGTCTTCTTGAATTATGGTATTTACCTTGCGATGATTTGATCTTGTTAAGGTTGATATGCAAACTTTAGAGATATGTCCAGGCTTATGGCATAAACTACAAAATAAGGTGTTAATGTCCCTGTCGCACGATTTTGCCAAGTGGTTACTCTCACCACAACGCACACATAGTCCTGCAATTCCTAGGCGCTCATACAAGTTCTTTGGATTGTTTTGACTTTGTTTTGTTGATGTGCTATCACAATCATAGTTTTTTGTACGAAAAACTCTAGAAACTTTATTTATCGAATTAGTTTCATGAAATGATTTGCAACCCTTTTTTGAT